TTATAGAAAAATGTTCAATAGGACATATAGGATTTTTTGTTCATTATAGTATATTTAAGATAACTAATAAAATTGTCTAACTAAAAAAAGTAAAATATAGGTTTCAACCAATCAAAATGTGACATGAGTAATTATCAAATAATTAAATTAAAATTAATTAAAATAATTTGGAGATTATTAAGGTGTCTAATTATATGTTTTTGAGGGTGAGAAATTCAATGGTGAATTTAATTTCTCTGAATCTTGTTTGGATTGTGATACATAAAAAGGATTGTATAATGTTGGGACACATCTGGAGGCTATTTGGTCGGATTCTCAATCACAAAGTGAGTAAAGAAGAAGAAGAATAAGAGAAATTAAGAAAAATTGGAAGAAAACTAGCAAAATATTGGAGAATTATGCATGTGTTTGATATTTAATTTCATTCATGCTTTTGTGTTTTGGATAGTTGTAGAGAAAATTTTGATTATTATTTTTAAGTTTAGTTGCTTGAAGCCATCCATAGATTGGAAGACTTGGATTATGCGATGAATTTGTTGTTTTTAAAGTGATTTTAGTATGTTGTTGTTGGATTGATAACTACACTTGGATTTGATGATTTAGTGTTAGAATTTTGAAGAATGAATGGTGTGTATGATGGTGGAGGATTCAGCCCTAAGGTTGAAAAAAGGGACAAAATGAAAATTTTCAAAAAAGTCCAAGGGCAAAATGGTTATTTTCATTCCTCAGGGGCATAATATAATTTTTTTTAAAAGATTAAGGAGATAATATAATGAAAATTTTTCAAAAAAGTCCAAGGGAAAAATGGTTATTTTCATTCCTCAGGGACATAATATAATTTTTTTTAAAGATTAAGGATATAATGATAATTTAATAATGTTTAGGGACATAAATGGAATAATAGGAAATGTTAGGAGTATAATTGGAATTTTAAAAAATAAATAGAGGTATAATTCAAAATTTTGAAAATAAGTAGGGATAAAACTAGAAATTTAAGAAAAATTTTAAGGTAAATTTAGAATATTAATTAATGAGAGTCATAAAATGTTAGGAAATGATCAATGACAAAAATGGAATATTAGAAATTAATCAAAGGTAATATTGGAAATAGTAATTAAAATTACAAGTATAATTAAATTTTTAGAAATAAAATCACATATCTAACTAAAAATTTGGGATAACATTAGAAGTATATTAGGAAATAAATTTAAAATAAAAGTAGTTTTATTTAACTAATTAGTTGAAAGTAAGTTATTTAATTTGCTAAATGTAGGTAAAGTTTATTGATTTGATTTATTATTGAAATGATGAATTGATATAAATACATATGACATACTACATGGATATGGTGCATAGTGTGATCTTTTAATAATAAAAAGTTGGAGGAAAAAGAAAATAACTTGTGAACAAATTTAATAATATTTATATTTTATTGTCAATAACGGTTGATGGTAAAATAAGTGAGAAATAAGGTTTTGATAAAAGTCTCTAATAAAATTATTTTCTTTAAATTTATTATCGAGACATTTGATAGTATGAAGTAACAGTGACATTGATGAATGATAATGAAAAATAGAACGAGCTATTATGTGAAATATGGAATCATAATTTGAGCTATCGATTTAGTCACAATAAATGTGGTTAAGTATAATATGTAAGACATGACCTAAACTTAGGAGATTGGATATTTGGTATAGGAAGTGTTTGGACATGAGCAATCCCACAAACAATCAATTTTTATTTGATTTTGAGTTAAAAAAAAATATAAATTTCAACAATACACATAAACATTTATTAATTATAACAAGTTTGCATTTAAATTTAAAATAAAAACTGACAATTACTTTAAGATATTATGCATTTTCCAAGAATAAATAAAAAGGATGTTGAATTTAGAACTTTTCATTGACCGATTGTGCACCATTTTTCTAATGCCAAATTTATTGTTTTTTTAGTCAATTTTTCTCTAGATCAGTTATGTAATTTATCTAAACCAATCATTTGACTGATTCACCAATTTTCCAGTTCAACCATGGATTCAATTCAATTTTCAAAACATTACTTTTTACCCACCCGTTTAACCGATGGGTTCGATTCAACTCTCAAAACATTACTTTATATACCCGAGATACGTAAGAGTATTATAACAACAAAATTATCTTTTCAATATTTATTACAATTGTATATCCTTTGAACTCAAAAATATTAATTAATATAAATCATTCCCTTATAAATTAATTCGCATTTGGTCAATTGGTTTAGGGTAATACAGTCCCAAATTGGTTGACTTGCTCATTTTTATGATACAGGATGGTCCATAATCAATCATATTGTCTTGCTAGTTGGGGTCTTGCATCCACTTGAGGCCAGGCCAAGTATGGCTGTAACTGGGCCGAGCTCTAGCCATGGATGAGCCCAACATATATAGGCTCAAGGACATGTCACTGCGACATTTTCCGAAAAGGATTAATAACCGTCACAATGACCAACAACAGTTAGACAAGGGGGCAAGGAGTAAAGATGGAAGCATATCACCCTTTTGTATCCTCTGGCACGAATGAGACCTCCATCACAAGACAGGCACACTTCCTAATAAGAACACATGACATAGATTGAACATCTTTTATTGAGAAGGATTCAAAAGACACCAAACATGTAATGGCTTACCAAGCATTTAGAGGTGAACTTCAGTACATATCCTAAATGGCTTACCAAGCATTTAGAGGTGTGATGACGGATTCACGTGGATGAGTCAATCAAGTCTGAATCGGACTGGGTCAGGAAAAAAAAAAAAAAACACCATTTAAACTAAATTTTAATCCAATTCACTTAACTCGTGAATCAAATAAATTCAAACCAAAATAAATCAAATTGACTTGTTTAATCTACTACAATTAATATATATATATATATATTTATATATGTAGTTTATATAATTATTATTTAAAATTTTGATTAATATTCTTTTTATGTATTTACATTTGAATCAATAATAGACTTTATTGTTAATAAAAAAAATTATAACTTTATTTTATTTATTAAAAATAAAAACATGTAATTTTTTTAATTATTTATTGAATTAACTTGTTTAAATAAACAAATCGTGTTATGCCAATCCGTGTGAGCAGAGTGAATCACTTTGGCACCTCTAAAAGCATCGCAAGATCGCTTGTAGATACATTTCTTGACTATTAATTAAGCTAAATAAAAAGTTCATCAACTTTAATCGAAGATTAATTAATAGTTAAGCAATCATGTCTAAAACTCTACTGAACTAGTTGTGACTTGAGAGGGAGAAATTTAATCAGGAGAACACTGATAACCCTGGAACTTTCTTAAATTCTTGCATATTTTTGCCTTACCGAGCTAAATTATATGTTCTGATATATCTCTTAAGATAAATAATTCAGGTTTATTTTATATAACCACTTATCACAATATAATCTTGCACATTGTACATAAAGTATGAAGTTATCACAAAATAATTTTCATATTGTACATAAAATATGAAGTTATTGACATACAATGAGAGGAAAATGCGAGACGAGTGATAGCAAAGAGTGGTTTAACTTAACTTCAGATACAGAACTAACAAAAACATTAAAATCTGTGATTAGTGAGTGAACCTTGAAAAGGCCATTAAATCAAAATCAATAAAGCAGCACAGCAGGGACTATGCCAGTGTGAAATTCCCAGTGACAGTCCGCAAAATGTTTGAAACATATCTAATCTGTCAAACATGGAAGAACCTACTACTACTACCATCTATATCATTCCCAAAAAATGGTGCAATTTTCTTGCTAGAGTTCTTCACTGAGAAGAGAACACAATTTAGGAAACGACAACAGTTTCATTCATCTAATGTCATGTCTAGATACAGCTTCCATCATAAATCTCATTCCCGGCTATGTGCTAAATACTTCAATATTCACACTTTATAACTCATTCAGCAGAGACCAGACAGATAAAATCATGTTTTGTCTTCACTCTTCATTACTTACCAATAGCCCAACCGAAATGCTCCAAACTCCTATGCAAATTGTTGTGCTTTGAAACCACAATTGTATTATTTAGAAATAACACGGGTCGGCTAATAAGTATCAATGTTACGTCACACTCCCAGACATTCAAGTACTAATCGCACTATGGTAGTTACCCAGTGATGTAGCTCGAGGCATAAAAAGTCAGTATAACCCACAATCAACATCAACAGTTTTGACGAGTTTCCATTTACACTTATGTGATAATGGTGGGCTAAGAATTAAGATTGTAGAGTAGCACAAGCAGGCAATCAAAATTAAAATGACTTTGCAGTTTATTAAGGAAGATCAAAGACATTATAAAAAAGTGAAGATAGAAAAATGGGAAACCAAGGACCAGTAGTTTTATCTGAATTCTAACGACAGCTTCTCCCCTACCTCTCCTAATAGAGTTGCCTTTCAACAAAGTCAAGAAATAGCACCTCATTTAAGAATCTTTGCTTTAAATAAAGGCTAGATAAACTCTTGCGTGCCTCCTCCCCATTAAGGATGTCAGTGAACTAGTTGACTTTCAAAGCATCACACAAACCGAAATTTTAATTATAAACGTCTTCTAGTGACCAATCCCACCACTTAAACTGCTACTCCATTATACAATCAATCGGCTTGATACACAACTCAAAGAACAAACATTAAAACATAGATTCAAACTCTATTCAGGTAAACTTGTCCATAAGTACTTTTAAAAGAGAAAAATAGAAAGAAATAATGAATCAAGCTTCTCCATAAGTTAATGGATAAACTAATTTGTAGAATAAATTTCTTCTCCAAAATCTTACTTTTTAACTATTATGGAGAAACTTATTTCCACTTTTCTTCTAGAAGTTTACCCAAACGGAGCCTCAATCAGAATCATTATAAAAAAGTAAAGAGGCTACAAAGGCAAATCGTGTTTTTTTTTTTTTTTTTTAATTGAATTGAATACTACCCTAAACATGCAAAGGAGCTAGTGAAATGAGGTACTATGAAACAAGGACTAGATTGATTAAACTTGAGATATGAAAGCAATCTATGATTAATTAGTCTCCGTGTTTTACAGAATAGAGCATAGAAAGAAAAAAAAAAAAAAAAAAGCATAGAAAGAAACGTGAAAAGTGTCATACATCCAAATTCTCCATCTGAATGCTGCTCTTGAGCGGGACGTACTCGCCAAGGTAGCCACCAAGATGGTCATGCAACGCAGTCTTATCAATCCCCTGGTGATGGAAACTCTTACAAACATAATAAAAGACGCTCTGCACCAACAACCCAACGAGGTTGACAATGACCAAAAGCCCCACGAGGAAGCCGCCAACGACAATCCTGGTGAAGACCCCGTAGGAGTCCCCACCGTGCACGACGACGACGCTGAAGAGAGCGGAGATGAGGGCGCAGACGAGGAGGTAGGCGGCGACGAGGGCGGCGGCGTACTTGGTCCTCCCCTTGAGAAGGTGGTAGCTCTTCTTCATGGCGGCGAGGCCGTAGATGGGCTCGAGGACGGAGACGACGCTGGCGAGGTGCCAGAGCGCGGTGATGTAGACGTGGGCGAGGAGGAAGAGGGAGAGGAGGGTGAGGAGGGCGAGGAGGAGGAGGAGGGAGTTGTTGGTGTCGAGGGCGAGGAGGAGGAGGAGGAGGGAGAGGAAGATGAGGGAGTTGTAGAGGAGCATGAGGAGCGTGACCCAGAGGAAGGTGAGGAAGAGGCGGTTGAAGACGCGGGGGATGGCGGAGAGCGTGGCGGAGAAGGAGACGGGCTTGGCGGTGTAGAGGGAGGCGACGGTGAAGACGACGGCGGCCGTGGAGAGGAGGGAGAAGGCGAAGAGGAAGATGAGGTACGAGAATTGGATGAGGAGGAGGAGGGTCCACTCGTGGGAGGCTTGCGAGGGGGCTATGAAAGGGGACTGCAGCTGGGAAATCAGAGGGTGCGTGAAGAGCGTGTGTGCCAGGATTGCGAAGGAGAGAGGGAAGACCAGGGTTAGGGTTATGAGGTAGAATGTCTTTGGTGAACGCTTCGGGATTGAGATCGATTCCCTCACGATCTCTGGGATCGTTAGGAATTGCAGCTCCTCCGCTGCCAGATCCATTTTCGCTTCTTCTTTCTTCCTAATTGCCTCCGATCATCTTCATCTCTTCTTTTCTTTCTTTTCACTCCACACCTTTTATGTTTCGCACCCTCGCCCCACCGCCTATATACTATCTAAAATTCATAAACCAACTTTGCTTCTCTATCTTATCTTATTATTTCTTTTTTATTCAACCGACATCTCTTTTTTATTTATAAATAAGATAAAATTGTTTACTTATCTTATATTTTCATTTTTTCTTTATTAAATACGTTTATTTTAGGCTAACTACGTTATTGTACCCCTATTTTTACGCAATACGTATGTTCTTGTTCGTAAATAATTTATTTATGACAGATTTTATGGTGGAAGGTTCAATGTGTGTCTGTTTTAATATCAACACACTTTTTAAAGTCCGTTCAACTTAATCTATGAGTCTTGTCTATTTGAATTTAATGAATATTTGAAGTTTGTGAACTATAAAACAAACACGCTCTTAACAATATTTCTCGGTGTGCAATTTTATTTTGGTTTTCTTTAATTGTTACATCTATTATTTTTAAATTATTAGTTGATATATTACCAATAGACCCATAATCCATTGGACCGTGGTCATTTTTGGGCCACCAACAATCTTGACCTCACCTCGAGAAAAATCCTAATTTATATTAATATACAAGGTACGTGCGTTATAAATAAGAGACTCACATACCTACAAGAAATAACTTAAGCATTAAAGTCTCTTTTACAAATACCTTTCTCATTTTGGACTCACGTATGAAGTAGAAGAAGTTCACTGATCTTATCAAAAAAGTCGTCCCTAAACCGATTTCAGGTAAGAACAGTTTAGATTTTTTTTCTTATTTTTTCTTAATTTGTTCGTTGGACAATATCTTCTTCTGAGACACCACCAATCTCTCTTTGATGTTGTTAGAGAAAGAGGCAAAAAAAAATTTTTCCATCTCATAAAATTGTGTATATAAAACAAAATTACAAATCAAATTTATAATTTAGATCTAAAAAGGAAAAGTCAAGATAATTACATGTCAAGATGATAAAGTATAGTTTACACCTTGCACAAAGACACAAAATACATATTTGTATTTAATTCCTTTCCATTGTGAATATTATTATCAATTTAATTATATAAAGTCAACTTAATTATCATATTTGATGGTATTGTCAAATTACTATATAAAAAAATAAATTTCTTCTAAATTTTGAAATATAAGGATAAACCTTTTGAAAATAAATAAGTTCATTGAACTTAAAATTTATCACACAATTAAAAAAGCGATTTTAATCACAAAATTAACAATTAAAACAAAATACAACAATAATTAATTAAAAAAAATTAATTAAAAAAAGTATCAATTCAAGATTCTAATTATTGTATTAGAATTATCATTGTTATCGAATAAATAAAATTATTATGACGAATCAGTAATGGGAGGTTGAAATAGTATATTTAAAATCCCATTGTAATTTTGATAAATTAAAATAAATAAATAAATAATTTAATAAAAAGTATATAATTTTTTTATTAACTTTTAAGATAGATACATCCATTAGCTAAAGGTCAAAAACTAAAATTTGTTAATTTTAAATATTACTACTGTATTAATTTTTTAGTGTGTAAAATGCATAGGATGATGATTATTTTATATAATTAAAATTACAATTAAAATTTATAATCAATAACTATTTCAATATATAAATTATATTCCATGTTAATATACAAAATTATTTTAACTATTAGTATATTTTAACAACATTTTCATTAAAATAATCCCCAATAAATATTATTTTAAAATTAGAAAACTCACAAAAATATAAAATTCTAAAAATTCTATTATTAGAAAATAAAAATTAGATAAAAATTACATGTACTATTTTTTTTATTCATAAAAGTTACAATTACAATATTAAAATTTGAGTTTAAAATTATATATATATATATATATATATATATATATATATTACAATATTTTATCAGGCTTAAAAATTACTGAGCATTAATTTGATATTAGTGATTTCCCTCCCTAAATTCTAGGTACTAGAAAAATATTAAAAAAAATAATATTTATATTTGTTATTCTCAATTTTTCTTTCAAAATTAAAATTTTTAGATTCAAATTGACATAAACTATATTGCAAGTAGTGTTTAAATAAATGATGATTGAGATGTTAAGAAAACTTGATTATTAAAGTTCAATTAACAATGTTCGTGTTTAAAATTATATATATATATATATATATATATATATATATATTACCTAAACTCTTACTTATACATGTTAGTATAAATATAATATACCCATATTTACATGTAATACTATAAATTTTATCAATGTTGTTCTTGGATCATAATTAAAACTTCACTTCAATAAATGTTAACTCATATTTTAAAAATCTAATTATGATTAGAGAAGAATATAAATAATACTTATAAATTATAAAATCATATCAAACCACTAAAGTCGACATAAACATAATAATGGAGGGGATGTATAATGTAGACACGATTTTAGGTTTAAAATTTTTAATTGTTGAATAATAAGAAAAAAATTGAAAAATTAATATTACGCGAAATAAATTATGTTAAATGTGGGTTGTAATAAAGAGGGAGAGGATTAAGTTCGAGTATTATAGTTTATATTATTATTTATATATAGAGGCCTTACTGGTTCGACTAGTGAGAGAGTGAGAGAGGCGGGCACAGGCAGCGGTAGCACTTGGTTTTGTTGTTATCATCTTTCATTTCTTAGGGTTCACATTTTCCCTCCTTTCTCTCTCTTTCTCACACTCTTT